ATCTTCACTAAACTTTGAAAAATTAAGTTTTTGTGCTGATAACGTATTGTGAAAAGAGAAGAGGACAGAGAGAAATCAATATACTTGTGTGTTTAATTAATAACCAAAATCTTGTATTTATAGGGCAGAATCAGGGATATAATAGTAATATTTTTTAGGGTTGCAGGGATATAATTGTCATTCACTTGTAAATCCTAATAAACTTATATTTTACAACAGGCACGTTAATTTTAAGCATATTTTAATATTAAATGTCATTAACATCTCTGTACATATTTTATGTACACTAAGCACAACCCTTCCTTCTTCGTTACATTCTTATTGTAATATTTTATTGATCATTAAATTTTATCCCAATCATTGTTTTCATTAGAAACTATTGTTAAAATGCTTAAAATGAGGGTCAAATATTTAATCGTGTTTTTGTATGATATTTGTTTCACTAATTTAAAAATACAATGGACAAAAGAGTTTTTTTTATACACTATCTTAAAAATTTATTGAAGAGAAATCATAATCAAGAACAATATATGTTAATTTGATAATTAAGAATGCGATGAAGAAAGTTTGAGAAATAAATATGATTATGCGTAAATGTTAAACATTTCATGTAATTTAAATGCAGTATATTCATTAAAAGCTGTGATGTAAATATATTTAGCCATTAAGAAAATGTAATTAATATAATTGAAAATATAATTTTCTTACAGTTTTCCTAAATACCCATATATTAAATAATTGTTTATATAATTAGTAGTTCATATTTGTTGATAATATGACACATTAAGGAACTTATTAGAAAATTAAGAAATCGTCTATACTTTTTACAAGAAAAAACAAAAAATAAAACAAGTTTATCTTTATAAGAATGGATAGAGTACATGATATGAGATTATAACACCTAATTCTTCAATTAAAAATATGAAAATAACACGATTAAAACGAACAAAACAAAGATAGAATCATAATTATCGCTTGAAAAAGACTAATGCAGTACGTTACTGTTTAAGAGTTGTTTCCTCCATTTTGACAGTCTCTCTCTTGAATTTTCTCGAATCATATATTCATTCTTTTTAATAATTGGTTCCCAATTTAGGGATGACAATTCGAACTGTCAAAGTCGAAAATCACGGTTAACCAAACCGAACGGGTCAAAAAAAAAACCAAATCGATGGTGTAATGAAATGGATATGATATTTGATTTTAATGACCCAGTTCGAGACATGGCGGGTATGGTATTTACGCCATCGACCCGCCGCGATTACCCGTTAAATTTTTTTTTATAAGCAGCCGTTAGAAAAAAATAATTTGAGGTTGAATAAAGATTGAATATAAATTGAGGTTGAAGCTTTTAAATTATTGAGTAGGAATCAAGTTCGATACATAAGGATCAAGGGCCAGGGATATTGTTTAGTATTGTTATATTGATAATATTGTTTGTTAAATTTGAATTTTGCATTTGGGAATTGGAATATTGTTTGCATTTTCGTTTGGTATATTATTTGATAAATTGACTTAGTATTATATTTTTTATTTATGTGTGACATGAGAATTTGAGAATATATCAACTGTGAATTGTGATAATTAAAATTAATTTGAGTATTGTGAAATGTGATTTTGTGAAAATTGAAAATGAGATATTGGGAAATTTATAATTTGTGATAAATTGGTGTTGGGAATTGAAAATTGAAACTTTAATTATATTTTAAAATTAATTCTAATTCTAATACAGATTGTGAAATTATTTTTTAAATCGATGTCCCAACCTAGTTCTTGTAGTGATGCATCGAATCCTGTAACTAGGTATTGATAATACAAAGAAGTCTTATGTATCATTTACTTTATATTATTTTGAATTGTATTATACTGTAATTTGATACTTTATATACGATTTTTACGTTTTAATGTATTTACATATAGATAGAATAATTTTAATATTATTTAATTTGATATTAATAAATGACATCGCTATACGGTCGTTGACTGTTGACTGTCAACGATTAACAATCGCCCTAGCAGAATCGAAATCCTAGATTTATCCCTGTTTGTGGTTATTAACCGCCCGAACCGAACTAACTTACGTGGTTATAGTACGGTTATGGTATGACCAAAAAATTGGTGATTCGGTGATAATTTTGACCGAACCGAACCGTTACCAATCCTATCCCACTCCATTGTTTTCACGTGACCCTCGTATATCCAATTCTATAAACATAAGTTTTGCTTCTCAAATTGAATTTTACTTAACAAGATTTTGGAGCAAGACGGATATGTGCAAGGTCAACGTTACAATTTAACAATGATTTAAATGATTTAAGGAGTTCAGTAAATAACGAAAAGGTAGAGATCAAATTGCTATTGGTATAATAGATTAGGGACTAATGATGCAAATTTTCCTTGTTTTCTATTGCCCTTTTGCGCGCCAATACGCTCCTGCTGATTATCTAACCTGACCTCCTTCAGTTCTTATTTGTTCACTCTTGACTGGTAGTTATAGTATCCCCACCCCATCCCTGTCAATAAAATGGAATCTCGAACACGAATTATGGAAACCATGGAACCCGATTATGATGATAACAATGATTTTCATGAACTACAGTTAAATAACAACTCTTTTGTTGCAGAACTCGAAGGCCTACGTTTATCAAATCAAAATCTCAAATTGAAATTGACAAAAAGAGAAGAAGAGTTTGTCCAAGTCCAACAGCATAAGGAAGATGCCCATAGAGAAAGAGTTTCGTGTAAAGTTGAGGATTTTGTTAGAGAAACGGAGGAAATGAAGAGAGGATGATGGGGAGCTGAAGGAAGATAAAAGTGTGAAAAATGGGCTTGCTCCTACAAAGAATTTTGGGGTCATAAATTTGGCAAAGAACGGTTTAGTAAGGATCATTGAGAGTTTGGACGAGGATAGAAGAAAAATTCATTGGCCGACCCCATCTTCTCCACACCTTAGGAACTTCGATATCACCCCAAGGAGACACGAACGGAACCCATCATCTCCATCCTGTAGAAACTACAAAATCACTCAAAAGGCGCCTTCATCATCTCCACCCGGTAGAAACTATGAGATAACCTTACGGGCACCTTTGGCATCCTGCAGTCACAGTTGATCATAGAATCCTGCTATGTCGAAGAATTGGAAATAAAGAAGCTTTCAGGGCTTGTAGATGAAGTTGAATTGAAACTGAGTGAGTATAGGGAGGTGAAGAATAAAGAGAATAGAGAATTGGAGAATAGGGTAGTGAGTTTCACAGAAGAAAACTGGGATATCAATAGCCTGCTTAGGATTGCTTTGGTAGAAAAAGAGGCACTGAAGAAGAAGTTAAACATTAACAGGGTAAAGGGGAATAATGAGCAGAAAAGAGTGGTATTTTTGCAGATTGCAGAGAGAGAGGCCTGTAGAAAGTTGGGTTTGGGTTTATGACTGGAAATGAAGTTAATGAACAAATGACAGATAATTCAGAGGATAAATCAGATGGAAGTGAATCTGAAGAGGAGGTTGTTAGTCTGGTAATTCTCTGCTTTTCATTTCTTGGAATAACATGTGATGAAATTTTTCAGCAGGTTCATTGGTATTAAGAATCTAGTTCCTTTGAATCTCTCTGCAAACCTAGCAATGGACGAATAGAGTGACGAAAAAGAATTCATATAGTCGACCACCATAATCATATTTCTTTAAGAACTTGTTCAAGAAAAATGAAGCCATCCTCTTTATATATATATATATATTAGCTATTGCTCTGATTTTCATAACCATTCTTATCAGGCTTCTACCGTTGAGAAGATTACGAAGAATTTAAGACCTGAAATGAACCAATTGAGGACATCTTTGGAAGAGTCGAGGTATTCTATTTGCGAATCACACTCTTGTTTGACACTCTTTAAAATTTTAATATATTTTTCTCTTTTTTTAACTACATATTTTTCAATAAAATAATATTATACGTAAATAAAAAAAATTCCTTCCTTTTTAGCAACACATTCTCCCAAAAAATATTATTCCATACATTTTACCAAAATTTTCCTTTATAATGGGGCTCAAACAAGGGCTAAATCATTATTTGAAATTTTTGAACTAGTCGCATACTAATTTTTAAAGATTTCATCGTGAACAAGAATCAGAACATGTCTCACTGAAAACGGCTAACTAATACATGGATGAAAGACTAAGGCTCTGTTTGGCACCCATTTTTATCAAAATGCATTTTTCTCTCTCTTCTTTTCAACCACACATTCTTTATTAAAATAATATTACACGTAAATCAAAAACTTTTTCTTATTTTTCAACCACACATTTCCCATCAATTTACTATTCAAAAATGCATTTTCACATAAAAATTCCTACCAAACACCCTCTAAATATACTCACAGTCCTACAACTGTATTAGTAGTCCTATGTGACAGCTTATTATTTGAGGGATAAGTAATTCTGTTGTTTCAATGAAAAAAGAAGCTAATGTCTCAAATAACAAGTTCATAGGATGATTATTGCAATCGTTGATTATAAATAACATGACTCCATATGAAATGCCAAACATGCTCCCAAGTAAAAATTCACCTCAGGGGCTTCCTCTCCCAAAATCCGGTCAACAGGTAACAAAATCGAACACTAGTTTAGGCCCTTGACACTCTGTTCTGTCTATAGATTAGCTGCCATACACTTGGTTATCTGTTTGTGATACTACCAGGTCAGATGCCAAGTGCCTGCAGAGTATTGCAGACAAGCAAGCTCAAAAATTAGCAGAAAATGCGCTTCGCATCGAAGTGTTGGAGAACAGAGAAATGTTGTTAACCCAAAATGTTAGTTTTCTATTATGAAGGACCAATTCTTTTTTCTTTTAGTCTCACTGTGTCATTTTTGACTTCTTCATATTCTGTTATACGCAAGGTCAAAGCACTATCAGCATAAATCAAGGAAGCTGAAGAAGAGATCGTAAGATGGAGGGAAGCATGCGAATTGGAAGTAAAAGCTGGAAATAAAATAGTTGAAGAGCGTGACAGACTGGTAATGTGTATATGACAAAACTTTTATCAAATCAATTTTGTCTTCAATAACCTACTTTTACGCACTTTCATATACACTTTTCATCAAACTTTACTCAAAACACTTGTTTTCTTTGCACCTTGATATACTATTACATCTAAAAGCTTAAAACTTTAAATCTTGTCTTCAACGTTCATCGTCTATCACCTATTAGGTTAACATTCTGAAGAAAGAACTAGAAAAAACAAGGGCTGCTTTAGACAAATCAAACTGGAAGATAAAGCTGAAAGACGGCCTAGTTGCTGCCGCAGTTTCTGCTCAAGAAACGGCTGAACGATCCCTCTGGCTGGCGGACAGAAGGGCTGCTGGCAACCATGAAAGGATCGAGGAGCTAACAAGGCAATTAAAAGAGGCAGAAAAGAAGGATAGCAATCGCCACAGAGTGAGGCATATTTGCTGGCCATGGAAAGCTTTCAAGCTCAACCCTACTAATAATACAGCAAATGGTAACCGAAAGGTGAGACATATGCTACCAGAAATGCAAGCCTTTCTTCACTACCATTAATGCATGTCAAAACTTTTTTCAGATGTACATGAAATCAACATAAATTTGATATGCATATTTAATTTCTTCTATTTTTTACCTTGTGATGTGTGTGTGTGTGTGTGCGCGCGTGTTTGGTAAAGATATTAGACAAAATTAAAGATGAACATAAACAAATCAGCTATTTATTTCAATATGTAGAGTTGCTCTCAATATAATGGAAAGTAATGGTAAAAGCAAGATGTGTTTCGAATTTTCTAGAATTTGAAAGCAAGAACTCATTTCTTTAGCTGGTGCCTGTTAGAGCCGGATGAAATAAAGAATAGAGGAAAGAGAAAAGGATTTCAATGCTTAGAAATCAGCAAGCATTACAACTCTTCCTACATGTTCCATAGTAATCAGGCGAACCAATCATAAAAATAGAATTCCTTTGACACTCCCCCAACGAAGCCCAATGAGGACAATTTTCATCTTCATCTGTACAATCAACACCAGATTGCATAGAATCATTCTCCCTGCTAGTTCCTTTAAGATGGAAAGTTTTGGTGGCGCACCACATTTCACCCTTGACTGGGCATCTCGCATGTGAACTACTTTTGTCAGGAGTAGCGTTAAGATGCAGGTTGAAGAATACAATTGCATTCCCTTTAGTAGGTTTTAGAATGTCGATACTCTTTGTACAGTCGGACCACATTTTTTTCTGCAGTAAGTTCTCGTATGCTTGTAAAAACAAATCGTAAGATAAATCACGAGTTGATGTTAATAGAAGGGTTTCTCTCTCACCTCTGACTCAGGAAATAATATCTGACCACCCTGAACCCTGTGTTAGAGATACAAAACAACTGTTGCCAATAAAGGTTCACCAAGTAGCAGTGTGGATTTGTTATCAAAATAGTTATAGTTCCGTTTTGAGTCTTCAAACCCAAAATGTAGCACGCGTAACGGTTTGCCATACTCTGCAAAGAAACCACTAAGTGATTCTATAACAGACAAAAGGTCAATTCCTAACGAATAGCACGTGCAGTGCTGTAGATCCACCTTATCTAAAAGCTAAGGTTATTAGAAATTAGACGACTTTGTTTATTTAATATTAGATTTTTACTGTTCAACACGGCCCCTCACGGGAAACTGGTTACATTTTTTAATGGAATGCCCAACACAAGCACAAGTTGCATAAATGGTGGTGGTTAGACGAGAAATCTAGGTCCTTTTACTACTCTAATACTGTATTGAACCACCTCGTCTAAAAGTTTAAACTGATATAGAGAAGACATGTTTATCTATTTTATCGTGGCCCTCTACAAATGCTAGGGTTGCCCATGCAAAATAAAATCACCTTTAGGAAGAAAAGTCCAAGCAGAAATTCTTTCCTCAATTCTTGCAATGATTTCATCCTAGAAACATTAGATCACCAGTGACATTACAAGGGTAAACAAAAGCAAAAGCTCAATAAACAATAAATATCCATACAGATAATAGCACGTTCCTCATCTGCATGCACTTCAATAACAGCCCTCTTCGATCTAAATTTCAGAAGATGAGAAATTTACCTTCGTATCCAAAGAAATACTAGAACTGGCAGACACCATATTCATGTCAACCTTCTTGCCCTGCATAATGTTACCTTTCTTGTCACTAAATAGAAAATTTGAGTTTCAGAACAACCTGTAAAGCAAGAAGGCATTGTCAACGAAAGTATGAGGAGGGATATACCAAAGAAATCAGATGGTCACACTCCTCCTCTGATAGAAAGCCCCTATATAGGAAGATCCTGTCCAAGAAGACTGCGTCAATGATACTCTCCTAAAATGGCCACAAACTGACTTCCAGAACACGAATTTAAGCATTTCAGAGAAAGTGCACAACATTTACAGATTTCCAGGCTTTAGTTTGTGATTTTTCTTCTTCAAAGACAAAACCTGGAAAAAAAGGGCAGAGGCTATGGGTTTGTTTGAACCCCTTTATGAGAGAATAGATTTTGTAATAATAATTTTTTTAGAATGTGTGGTTAAAAAGTAAAAGTATTGGGTTTACCCGTAAAATTATTTTATAGGAGAATATGTGGTTGAAAATGAGTATGGGGAAAAATGAGTTTTAAAAGAATGGGGATCAAATGAGGGCTATAATTTGTCAAACATATGGCTTTATGAGGAGTTCGCCAACAAGACCAGTGTTTTCCACAACCGCTACAGAATTTCTTAATAAGGCTGGATGGCAGCACACTTCAGAATGTAGAGGGTTGTCCATTCTGTTGATAGTGTCCAAGGACTTCTGACACGTTAGAAGCAAAGCATGTGGAAAATTTCTGTTTCACCACTTGCTCACAAATTAGATTTATGCTAGCCTTTGTACATTTCTCTCTGTCTTTGATATCCATATTATACTAAATAACAGAACACACAGAAATAACAAACACAACGCCCCTTCAAGATAAGCCTATAGACATTTCCAGATTTTTTTTTGCCCATTAAATTACATTTATATTAGAGATAGCATGAAAAGCTTTAGAAACTTATTTTCTTTATGCTGAAATTTTTGGGAATTAAGCATAACTGAAGTAGTTTAAAGTTGAAATATAATACAACACAAAGAGGTTAATTTTTTTGATAGATGCTCAGAACCCCAATATAATAAATGCATATTTCCCAAAATTGTGCTCCTAGTAAACCCCTTCATGAGAAACATAGTGCAAAAAAGATATAAAATGATCTTTGATTTATCGGATTACCTGACCTTGGTTGCCACGAGAGTTGGATAACTTGTGATGGGTCAACAGTTCTAGATTGCATCGGGCGGTCCCCTTGGATTATTATGTCTAGGTTCATTTCCTTCGTCGTTAACTCCTTCCGGCTACTGAAACCATTAGTTGTAAAATGATATCTTAATGAGTAACAGCTCAAAGCAATTCTAACGTTCTTTCTACGAACGAGAAGTCCTATTTTTTTCATTTAGCACTTAGCGCAGAGAATACAGCACTTCAATTCGCAGCATTTGATATGGATTATATAGCCTATAGTCAATTGACACGTTTCATCAATTAAATGAACTAAATAAAACCCACATTTATCAAAAAATAAATTGTTAAATCCAGAAACGCGAAGAAGAGAAAAACTATTTTAGCCCTTGTTTTTCATAAGAATGCTTTTTTGAATAGTGTAATGATGGGAAATGTAGTTAAAAAATGAGGAAAAGTTTCGAATTTGCGTGTAATATTATTTTATTGAAAATGTGTTGTTGAAATGATATCAAATCACCGTTTAAGAATATATTTCTTTTGGAAAGAATGTAGGTCAAACGGGGCCTTAATAAGAATATGTTGAAAAGCTGAGAATCTACCAAAATGTTAATACAATTAATTTCATCAAAAAGCGAAACGTTTAACAAATGTACATCATTAACCTACGAGAGAGCCGGAAAAACATTCAACGTAATGGCAACACCAAGTAGTGCAGCAATATGGATAATTTATGCACCAATACTACCAGTCTACCACTATATAAATCAAGGCCCCCAACGTACATGTCATCTCTATCACCAATATGATGAATGTGTAATTTGACAATATGCAGCCTGTCGATCACATGGGATGTTATATCAATTTCCTTGAACATGCTGAATTTTTTATGCATTATTGTTCACCTACTTTAAAGCTAAAGCCTAAGTCATAAGGCCGCCTTCTATACTTCTTTTATAGCGAGATCATACTTTTGATCTATTTCCATTATTCAGTTTGCAAGCTGGGGAAAAAAAAATTTCCCAATCCGTTTAACAGAAACATAATTCTTGCTTGCTATTCACATATGTTCAAGAAAAATGAACAACAACATATCTGGACCCCCTTTAATAGGCACCTTAGAGCACAAATTCCATTAAAAATATGTGATACTTTTGCCATTTAAATAAGAACTATTATATACTTTACATTTCCTAGCGCAATTATGAAGTCATGATTTAAAAAATATACATCGATTAATACGTCTTTATATAGGTACATCTTCAGACAAGGAAATGCTAGTTACACTAGATCTAGAAATATGATGCTAAATGTCAATACGAAAGCCCAAATTAAGGGGAAAAATCAAATGGGTTTTCTTACCCTTGTACTAACGAGCCACCAAAAGCAATTACAAGTAAAAGTACGCAGAGAATTGAGAGATGGGTCGCCATTAATGGCTGAACTGAGAATTCTTGGAAAAAAATTCCAATCCCTTCGCTTGATTTTGGCCAATTTCCAGCTGAAATTGTGCTTTTAGTTATGCCAATTCACGCCAAAAATGAGAATTTTGTCAATTCCCCTAGCCTAAGATTCTTTTTTCTCTGGTAATATTTTTTTTTTTGTTGGGTTATTCTAATGGTGTCCAAAATGCACGCTCGTTGTCCATTTTGATCGCCCCCAAAAATAATTCTTTTTTGGTTACTAGTTTTCCATTGCACGGGCTATGTCATTCTTCAGTAATATTATCGTATCAAAATATCTATTTATTTCTCTCAATAAATCTACAAATTTGATTATTTGTTGTGCAAAGAAATGAAGAAAAGAAGTATATATATATATTTTTATAGATGTTGCTCAGAAAAATGAAGAAAAGTATGAAAAATAGTATAACAATTTATAACTCATATAAATTATAAAGTGATAATAATAATGTTACTAGGTATTTTTCCGTTCAAAAAAAAATTAATTGACGTCATACACATAATTTTTTTAAAGAAAATGATGTAAATTATATTGAGAAAATTATCGTGACAAAATAATAAATATTAATAAAATAATTAATTTTTTTAAGAAAAAAGACAAGTTATACGCATTTTTTAACATACACGTTTAATATACGTTTAACTATTTTCGATATTCATTTAAATTATTCAATGTGTCTATAATGTAGTTTTCGAAATGAGTTTTAAGATAATACAGAAAATTTATGGTAGATTTTTATAAAAAAACTAAATAAATCATCCAGTAAAAAAAAAAATTGACACAAAATATCAACCACTCAATGAATAAAAAAAATTTCACACGTAGCATCATTTAAAAAAAATATTGTTGCACATGCTCCGTGCATCACGAAGCATTTTGCTCTTGGCACCCTGAAGGAGCAAATTTGCTCCGTGATGCACGGAGGTACTGCAATAGTTTTTTTCCTTTGATATATTTTTTTATACGAATCTATTTCGTAATAAGCTTTTAAATTTTTTTTAATGTCAAAAGAAATATCATTTAAAAAATTAAGAATTTCATTAACAAGCTAACTTAAATTTTTTTTTTTTTTACTATTGTACGGCAATCGAATGCATAAATCTGATATATTCTCTCGAAACTTATTTTGAAAACTATATTATAGACATATTGAATGATCCAAATGAATATCGAAAATAGTTAAACGTACATCAAACATATGTATTAAAAATGCGTATAACTCGTTTTTTTCCTTAAAAAAATCAATTATTTTATTAATGTTTATTATTTTTTCGCAATATAATTTATATCATTTTATTAAAAAAATATTATGTGGTATGATATGAAGTATTTTTTTTTTGATGTAAAAATTCAAATCAGACAAAACAGTAGCATCACTCACGCGTAGGAAGACCATTAGCAATGATTTTAGGAGTGAAGTGAAATATTATGAGATATTCAAGGGTAAAATAAGAAAACACAAAATACGTCCTGAATGACTAGTGCTCACCACATTCACTCTTTTATTTTAATATATGTCGACGATTGTACAGTAGTCGAATGCATAAATCTTCTATATTATCTCGAAACTCATTTCGAGAACTATATCATAGACATATCGAATTATCTAAATGAATATCGAAAATAGTTAAACGTATATTAAACCTGTATATTAAAAAATGCGTATAACTTATCTTTTTTCTTAAAAAACGAATTATTTTATTAATATTTGTTATTTTTCAAGACAATTCTCTCAATATAATTTACATATAAAAAAAATAAATATTATGTGGATGACATCAACTAATTTTTTTTTTAGCCGTAAAAATTCAAATCAGACAAAACAGCAGCACCACAATGTTGAATATTTTTAATACTCAGTTGAAAAGATGTGGATTAATTTAGTCGACGATATTGAATTTTTTAGATGTATATAAATTTTGGAGGATTAAATTCAAATATATCAAAATTGGGTGATTAAATAAAAATCTCAACCTCATTTAAGTGTCAAAATACTATACTGTGGCTTAACTTGTGTTTGGCTCCATTAATTTTTTTTTCATTTTTCTCTCTTTTATTTTCAATAGCAAAATCTTTTATAAAATAATATTACACGTAAATAAAAAAAAACTTTTCATTAAATCAATTGGATATTGAACCAAAAAAAAAAGATTCGATTAATTACATGATTTAATTATATTGAATATAGTTATCATCAAATAGTCCTTTATATATAAAATAACCGCTTAGACTAAAATAATGTTTGATATATAAATTATGAGTTCAAATAATTTGGGTTTTTATTCCATGCATCAAGGAAATATTTATCCTATCCCCAGAAAATATATTTCAATTATAGCAACATAAAATTAAGGCCAACTAATTTTTCATCTTGATTATTTTAACATTTGAAAAAAATTTATATATAAAAGAAATTCAATCATTTTTAGGAATTTCTTTTCTTATCGTTACTTTTTCCTCTCGATCAATTAATTTTTTAAATAATAATAAAAATTTTGATGTCATTTAGAAAATTTCCTAATAAACTTTTAAACTTTTTTTTTAAAGTCAAAAGAGACATCATTTGAAAAATTTAGAATTTTGATAACAAATTAACTTTAAAAATTTATCGAAGATTGTACGGTAGTCGAATGCATAAATCTTATATATTCCGTCAAAGCTCATTTCGAGAACTATATCATAGATACGTCGAATGATCTAAATGAATATCGAAAATAGTTAAATGTACATCAAACGTGTGTGTTAAAAAATACGTATAACTCGTCTTTTTTCTTTAAAAAATAAATTATCTTATTAATGTTTATTATTTTGTTCGCGACAATTTTTTCAAAATAATTTACATCATTTTCCTAAAAAAATATCATGTGGTATGACATCAACTAGTTTTTTTGGAAGTAAAAATTCAAATCAAGCAAAAGAGTAGCACCACACACACGTAGGAAGACCATTAGTAGTGATTTTAGGAGTAAAATGAGATATTATGGGATATTCAACGGTAAAATAGGGAAACATAAAATACTTCCTCAATAAATAGTGCTCGCCACATTCTTGTCCCGTGCAATTCACGGATTGTAATATTTTTAAAGTAATATTAACGTACCAAATATTAATGGATTCATTAAATTTTCACCTAAATCTTATAGAAATTGACAATCATTAGTGAAATTTAATAAGGATAATATTCTAGTAAGATTCAACTAAAAAGTGTTTGCTAACCAATTTTTTTCCCAAGGAAGAAATTAATGGGGATGATACTAATCTTTATAAGTTTACAAACGTTTGACAATGCATAATTGTGCTATGTACCAAAATATTAATATGTAACCATTGAACAAGGAAGAAAGTTTATTGGGAAAAAAAGTAGTAAAAATATTACCCGATAGATCATAATGCTAAGGAAATGCAATGCAATAGGTAAACATCACTTTAACCACTCTCAACAAAATGACTTAGACATAACATTAAAATCACATAATAAATCATTCATAAATGATGAAAATTACCTAAATAAGAAGCTGAAATGGTATTCCTGTAGAGTTGTAGTGAGTAACATTTATCGTGGTCTTCGTGTTGTGCGGTTTTCTTCCAATTCAAACCGAATGACCTTCCAAAAAAACAAATTCCACTAAATAACTCGTTCAATGCGAACATGAGCGGACATAAATGAACATTAAAAAGCATATTCACTGTTATAAGGTAAAAAAATAAAAATAAGAAAAACAAGAAAGAAAGAATTTGAAGTTGCATGAGAAAATGGAAATGATGGTTCGAAAAGTGATAGTACTAAAAAAAATGTGACAAATGATCTCTCCGCGCTGCGCGGAGAGATAAATTCTTTACCAAAAGAAATGGATTTTCTGGCCATTAGTGGGTCCCTTTGTGAGAGGAAAGTCAATAATACCATTAGTGTTCCCCTTTGTGAGATAGGGAAGTCAATAATTTCGACTGACTGATCTGCAACAATCCAAAATGGGCTTAAAATTTGAGAAAAAAGCAGAAACAGAGAAGACCATTAGACCATGTTTCAGAAGTGAAATGGGATATTGAAGGGTAAAATAGGAAAACTCAAAATATGTCCTAAATGAACAGTAATTGACATATTGCCTCTTTTATAGTAAGTAGGATTAGAACACGAGTTTAGTATAAAAAATCACTCGGCTCGTGTTTGACAACCATTGATAAATGGAAAAATCATGCTTTGAATAATAATTTTTGGAAGAATGTATGGTTAAAAAGAAAGAAATTTTTTGATATTACGTGTAAAATATTTGATTGTGTGATTGAAAATGAGTATATAAAAAAAGGAGTTTTCAAATAATGGTAGTCAAATAGGTAATTAGTGTGTTTGATTGCAAATATGAAATTTGAATGGAAAAAAAAATCAATTCTAAGCCCAGAACTTATTTGTATAAAAATCAATTCTAATCGGTTTAATTTTCAATTTAGAAAATATTATTTTTGTTAATCCCTTTATTGGTGCGTAGATAATGGAGAGGGTGTAAATGAGAAAGAAATAGAGCGAATTGAATGAAAAATAAAAACATGCAACTTTCTAATTATTTTATTGTATTATTATTATTTTTTTTTTTGGAGGAAAATATGGTTACGTAACTAACTTTTGAGAAATATTTTTTGTTACGTCTCATATCTGAAGTTTTCAATGAAGGCTATGTCAAAGCCACATGGAAGCAAACTACAAGAAAGAGAATAAGCCGCTCTTTGGTTGGAGCACCATCTTCATCCATAGTTCTTTGCAATATCTTCCTCTCTTTGCTGAAGCACTTTCTCTTCTGGTCGAACCTCTGAATATTGAAGCTTCTTCTAAAATCGAGGTGATTGCTGTCTTTAAAGTGGATCTGAAGAGTATTTGTAGGAATGAATAATGTAATGTTTGTATTAATAAGTGTCAGAAATGTTAGCCTAGAGTGTAGGACGACTAACCCCTTATCAATGTAATTAATGGATGGTAGAAAGTGATGGGAGGCTTCGGTTGATGGGATGAGGCCATGTGGTTCTGATCTAATGGTGACTATGTCGGCTTTAACCATATAAATAGTAACTCTTGAAACATGTTACAGGATGGAAACTTCATATACTTGATATTATAATTCTCTTTTGCTCATCTCTTGGTGTTTGAGTTTGGATTTATTTTATTATGAGAATTGTTAGTGATTAATCTTTGATTTTACAATTACCCTTGATCAGAACGTTTTCATCTC